TATATATATATATATATATATATATATATATATATATATATATATATATATATATATATATATATATATATATATATATATAAGAAACACTTTCACCTCGGTTGGAAAGAAAACCGAGGTAAAAAGTAGTGTGTTTTTAGATTAAAAATAAAATATTCAAGAAGGTGTCACTTTTAATGAAATAAGAACATAAAGTGAGGCTGATGGAATTCAAAGCATGTACATTGAACAAGTTTATCCCTCGATTTTCATAAAAATTGACAGAATATATTGAATATATTTTATAATAAAAAAAATAGGGTGCGTCAAGGAATTTGTACCTCGGTTTTACAATAATGAGGTGAAAGTTTCGTCATGGAATGTCATATTTGTAGTAGTGAGTATGTGACCATCCAAGAATGCATTTTTGACAACCATCTGATACAACTGAAGATTCAAAAAACAAGCATATGCTAACAAATAATCTAATTGCTTCTAATATAGAAACATGAGCAAATGTTTCTTTAAAGTCTATACCTTCCACTTGATTATAGCCTTGGGCTACTAATCTTGCCTTATTCCTTATGTTGATACCATTTTCATCTAGCCTATTTTTGAAAATCTATTTAGTGCCAATGATATGCTTATTTTTTGGTCTAAGAACTAAATCCCAAACTTTATTTCTTTCAAATTGATTTAGTTCCTCTTACATAGCTAGCATCCATTGGTCATCATCTAAAGCTTCTTTGACTTTATAAGGTTTAATTTGAGAAACAAATGTCGTGTTTAGACAAGTATCTTTAAGATTTAGACGAGTAAATACTCCCTTATTTATGTCTCTAATAATGTTGTCAATAGGATGATTCCTACCATTGTCCATTCTTGAGCAAGATCATCTTTATTCTTCTCATGTTGAACGATTTTTTCTTGGTGCTCGAATTTTTCAATATTCTCATATTTGACAATGTCTTCCATAGGGACTTCAAAAATTTCATCATCATCACACACAATTATATCCTTTTTAGAGGGGTTGGATTCATCAAAAGATACATGCATAGATTCTTCAATAGTTAAAGTTCTTTTATTATAAATTCTATATGCCTTACTTATAAGAGAGTAACCAAGAAAGATACATTCGTCAGATTTCTCATAGAACTTATCAAGATTGTCTTTGTCATTGTTGAGGATAAAACATTTACATCCAAAAACATGAAAGTGCAAGATGTTTAGATTTCTCCCTTTAAAGAGTTCATATGAATAATTTTTCAATATCGGCCTTATGATAACCCGATTGCTTACATAATATGTCGTGCTTACCGCATTCGCCCAAAAATACTTTGGTAGAGTAAAGTCACTTAGCACGGCTCTTACAAATTCAATTAGAGATCGATTATTCTTTTCAATCACCCCATTTTATTGAGAAGTCATTAGTGCTGAAAAGTTATGAAATATGCCATGCTCCTCAAATTTTTTTTCAAATGATATATTCTAGAATTCACCACCATGATCACTTCTTATTGATCCAATTTTCAAGAATTTTTTGTTTTGTACTTGCTTTGCGTATTTCTTGAATGCCTTGAAAGCGTCGATTTTCTGCACTTAAAATAGTGTCTAAGAACATCTAGAAAAATCACCGAAAATAACTAAAGCATATACATCGCCTCCAAAACTTCTTATCCTTGATGGACCAAACAAGTCCATGTGAATCAATTGGAGTGGCCTTGTAGTTGATACCATATTCTTTGGCTTGAAAGTTGTTTTGATTTGCTTTCCCTTTTGACATGAATCACATAATCTATCTTGGATAAACTTTAACTTTGGTAAACCAATAACAAAATCATGTTTGACTAATTTGTTTAAGTGTTTCATATGAATATGAGATATTCTCTTGTGTCAAAGTCATGCATCATTATTGCTAAACATTTTATTTTCAAAGAGAGATCATTTAAAGATATCATAAAAATATTATTGATTCTTTTATCGGTAAATTTTGTCTCATGTGTGGCTTCATCTTCAATTATGCATTCATCTTTGATGAAATGAATTTTGAATTAATTTTACTTTGCCTGAGATATTTCATAAATATTAATTAATTTATTAATTACTAATTAAATTCAATAATATTATAAATATAATAATTTTTATTTTAAAAATATATGTGACAAAATTATGTGATGTGATTTCAAATGGTCATTGCCATGTCATAAATCGAAGTGACACCTATACAAATTTAGAGAGAAAAAAAACCCAAGCAAAGAACTGATTATTTTGATAGAATTGGCATCCCTGTATGAGAATCTAATTACAATCTTAATATACTTGTTTTGAAAGAGAAATCTAATAAACGCAACAAAACTCAAACTCAGCAGTTTGCTGCCGCTTTGCCCTGTTGTTTTAGAAACACGCCGGATTTGCAACAATGAACTAACCACTCTACTTCTCGAGAAATCCAGTCTGAGATCATCCTCAACCTCCTGTAACAGCAGTAACAAAATCTTCAAGGTAAGAATTTTCTTCCCCTCTCATGTAGTGATTGATAATGGGATTCCGAAATTTCTTACTCAAATATACAATTTATTTAACTATTATGAATTTCATTTTTCATCTTCGATGGTTTTATAGTTTCTCATTATTAACCTAATTCGATGCGCCACAGTAATTCAAGCAAACCGCTCATTCCTATTGTGATTTTTTTTTTTATTTTTAATTTCTTCTTCATAATCTCTACTTAGATTTTATTTGATTATAACTGTCACATTTTTTTAATTTGAAAAAGATGTGATAAACTGATAATGATTGTAATTTTGTAGTGTTGCATCCACTCATTCTCAGAGATGGGTGTAGTGAAAGGGGTCATATTGGATGAATCGGTACTCTTGGTTGGAGGAGATGGTGATGATGATAAAAATGTATCATCACTACAGCCAGGAGTTGAATCTCTCATCAAAACACTGTTTTTGGCCGGAATAAATGTTGGAATTACTTATAGTGTTGATCTTCCAAACGATAAGGTTAGTATTCTGAAAAGTATAGCTAGTTTATACTCACTTCATTGGTTTGTCTTAAATGATCCTGTAAATGAAGTTGTTATGCCTGAATGGTGTGATATTGAGAATGAGAGTGTTATTTATCTGGTTTCTAGTAAGAAGAAGTTGTTATTACCTAAATTAAGAAGCTATAATTGGTTGGTTGTTGTTCTGAATGTTGGAGGTGAAAGTGAAAGTTCATGTGAATCCGACACGCCAAATATTGAGAATTTAGCGGAGTTGCCATTGACCATTTGTCGGTTAAATAAGAGGTTAACTGGAAACAATTTCTTGACTGTGGGTTATACGATGAAGCCTTCTCGTGTTGAAGATTTTGCGAAGAGGGGTGCATTCCCTTTGTGTCCTACGGAAAATGGTTTAATGTTTGTGCCTCTTATGGCCACGCTTCCTTTAGCGTCTCAGTTAAAGGATGTTGACATTGTCCTTCATAAAGCCACTGATGAAATTTTATTCATTGAAGAGAATAAACTTACGTTTACACAACACATGCAAGAACTGCAAAGGTATTTGGATCAGAATCAGGATTTCTGTGTGGTTGATCCACTGATTAACATTTATCCTATTTTGGATCGGCTAGAAATTCAACAAGTTCTACTTGGCTTGTTAGAACTGAATACCGAAGGTAGCTGTTTGATAAGAGGGGCGAGTTTTCTGAAGGTTGATAATTTTAGCGAAGTTAATTTTGCATCTAAATTTGATGAAGCTGGGTTGTCTCTTCCGTGTATAGTGAAACCTAATGTTGCTTGTGGTGTCAGTGATGCTCATAAGATGGCAATAGTTTTCAGAGTTGAAGATTTTAAGAGTTTAAACGTTCCTCTACCTGCTGTTATTCAGGAATACGTGGATCATTCGTCCACTTTATACAAATTTTATGTCTTGGGTGGGAAAGTTTTCTATGCTGTCAAAAAGTCAATACCAAATGCTGATATTTTAATGAAATTATCTACTGGTAATGATCTCAAACCTCTAGAGTTTGATAGCTTGAAATCTCTACCCACCGATAAAGGCACCATCGTGGATTCTGAAGCCAGTAACGAGTCTATTAACCTTAAGTTGGTTACGGATGCTGCAAATTGGCTTAGGAAAAGGCTTTGTCTCACAATCTTTGGTTTTGATGTAGTTATTCAGGAAGGAACTCATGATCATGTAATTGTGGATGTAAACTACCTCCCATCATTTAAGGAAGTACCTGATGACATCGCTATACCTGCCTTCTGGGCGGCCATTAGAGATAAGTTTGACAGCATGGTTTCTAAACAAGCACATGCTTGAATGAACATCATGACTTTGACAGGAAATTTTGCCAGTGATTTCATCATACCTTTGATCAGGCACCGGATCTTATCATGATAAAAATGAGATTGAATAATTTTAGTGTTGCAATGTTTGAAGTTTGAAATACTTAACACTTAGTTATTATACAATTCAGTGTAATGCTTCTGCTATTTGGTGTTTTATTGCCTTGCATGAAAAATAAATTATGTGAAATTTATTGAATGCTGGTAGTTAAATCTTTATACATATGAGGTGATTATGTATTGGTCTGAGTCTTCAAAATTATTTTGTTCCTTTCATAGTAACATATAGTAATTGACATAGAAAATATTCATTTTATCTCCTTTTTCTCTCCAAAATTCTTATACAAACATAGGTCTGAGTCTTCAACACAAACTGATCTTTCTTAGGATCCATAACCAGGAAGAAAAAAAACTAACTTCAGCGTCATCTATGCCTAAACATCAAAACTAATTTGAGTACTATTAAGTGTTAAAATACATAGAGATATCTATGAATACATTTGCTACAGAGTTGAGGACAAAAATAACTTGCTTCAGAAGCTCACACACAGAAGGGTTGTGTTGGTGCTGCTATGTCTTGCTTCAGAAGCTCACACACAGAAGGGTTGTGTTGGTGCTGCTATGTCTTGCTTCAGGTTTTAAAAAAAACTAGTACTACTATTGACAAGTGAAGGGACTATTGAGCAGCCGCTTCTTCATGAATTTCACCTTCTTCCACCGGACTGAAGCTCACTCGTTTCTGAAAATTCAAATTCAAATTCAAATTCAACCAATAACATTAGCTTAATTTCATATTACCTTATACCATAATTATGTATAATTTGTCGTAGTTGTAATTGTTTGGAAGATGTAAGTTTGAACGAAACAGTTCAACAATGTTAAAAATAAGCATAATCAACTTTTGAAGTTATCTCATTCTTACATTTGACTTATGTTACGCTGATGTATTTTACATTTAAGAATACGGCGTGAGGCATGTTACCATGTTAGATAGCTTAGTAAGAAACGTCATAAACAACATAGAAAGCCTAAGATAATAGAAAATATTCATCCACGTTATGTAAAATTTGCAAATAAAATTTTATTTCCTCAACTTTCTTCTTGGCATCAGCAAGATAAGGTTGATTGCAACACATCATAAGTGAAATAAATATTCATAATCTGTCCCAGTTATGCTTTCATTCGTAACATTTTATCCCCTTTTCTGTATATAAAATGGTTGCCAGAATTTTTGGTTATTGAATTTGAAAATGTCAACAGGTTGACATTTTAATTTGATCTTATTATTAAGTTATCGTTCAATATCATCTTATGGTCAGCTAAAAAGAAAATTCTTTGTTCCAGAATTTTTTTTGTTCATTCATCATTCCATATATACTCTCTTTCCACGTGGCTCTTTTATTTTTATTCATAAATTCATGTTTTTCTAAGTGGTGTCTAGTTTTTATTAACTAAAATTCATGAGTCACACTAATTCCCGTGAATCTTATAAAACTCATAAATTTTTTAATAAGTAGAGAATGAGAGAATGTGTTGATAACATGTGATATATCGTTGTTCATTGCATCAATCAAATTTTTATAAATACATTTATACATCAGTTTATAGATATTCTCTAATTAACTAACATGAATTTCATTGATTCAAATCCATAAAAATCACATTTCAGTAATATATTTTATGTCAAAATATAATACTGAAAAAAATATTTTCAATAATATATTTTGGCGAGAAAGTAGATAAAGAAACTCTCAAAATTTAATTAAAAATTTTCTAACATTTTTTTTTTTTAAATTTGCACATCACAGTAATAAAATAATTAAAATACAATACAACCAAAACAACACTTACAAAATCAGCAATGAAAAAATAGCGTGTATACACGCCAAAACCTTTGAATTGCTTATTTATGTTTTATTTATTTATCATCAATAATAGTCAATATTAATAATATTAATAATAACAATAATACAACAATCAACATGCAAGTTGTCAAAAAAAAAAAATCCCACATTCACATGCAAAATCCAAACAACTCACAAAATTTCAAAAATCAACAAAATAATAACAGATGATAATTGAAAAAACACATACCCTTCGTGACCTTTGATTATGAACCTCAAATTTCGCTTCATTCCCTCCACCACCACCCTCCACGGCGGCATTATTTCCCATATACAAACTCAAAATCTTCTCCGCCACCTCCGTTCCGTCGCAACTCTCCTCCACCAACCTATCCAATTGCGCCTTAGGCAGCCTCATTTTCACCCGGGTCGACCCATCACGAACCAAACCAGCCCGACCGTCACCCAAACTAGACCGTTTCACCAAAGACACATCCGAAACGCTCCGTTTCGACAGCATCAAAAAATCGAGCCTCTCCATAGCATTCATGCCACGTATACCAGTAGATCGCGCCCTCCGTGGCACCGGCTCGGGCTGAAGCTTGGGTAATTCAACTAAGAAATAGATTTTCTTGGGCTTTAGTTCTTGGTAGGGCTCAAGTGGCTTGGCCCGAAGCCCGAACTGTTTAACGGCTTGTGAGTCGAGAAGAGCGTGACCGGGATAGTGCTTAACGACGTCGTTTGCTCTAGCGGGAGTTTTTAGCTTGAAGGTTTCTCCGTTTATTTTCATCACCTTTGCTTTTTTATTTCTTCTTATCATAACGTTTCCCATCTCTTACTACACTTTTTTCTTTCTCTTTTGATATTTTCAATTTTGATTGGTTATGTTTCTATCTTTGTAGTCTAGACTAGAGTGTTATAATATTAATACTGGTGGTGATAATAATAATAATAATAATAATATATTAATACTTGATATATTTATTAATATTGCCGTCACGGGATACGTTATTTAGTAAGTGACAAAAGCAAATAGTATGTGAATTAGTGGAAATTTGGAAGAAATTTCATACAAATTAAGAAAGTATCTATGACTTTATTCATAATTATTTATTTAATAGTAGTGTGAATCTAGAGATTTACTACAAAGCAAAATAAAGTGTTACAGGTTAATGTCGATTTGATGGTTGTTATATAAATGCTCAATTACATTTTTAGCCATTTCTTTATGGTTATGTTTTGCTAAAGTTAACTAATAACAGTTGATAATAAATGTATTTGTAGCTGATAACAAATAATTGGATGTAGAATTTTTTTGGCGCGGGCATAAAATAGATATCGAATAACGGGTAAATTAGTAAAAAAGAAATTGGTAAGTTAATTGATTATAATAATTAAAAGTAGATTTTTATTTTCAGTTTTTAGGGTGTGTTTTACTTTATGCAAGTATATTTGTTTTAAGTGATGCTAGTTGATTTCACATTTAATTTTATTTTTAAAGGTGAGTATATAGGATGTTACAAATTCAAATTCACAATAATTAAAGTTATCTTCAATTTCTTACTTATAGTGTTAAAAATTTGAGACAACCTTTTAAATTTATTAGTTGATAATTTTAACTTTTAAAAAAAAAAAATTGGGATTTGGGACCGACATTGAAATAATTTTGTTACAAAATTTATTTATTAAATTAATTAATTTTGGAATTAATTTTATCATACTTAAAATTAAAGTTATTTTCAAAGAGATGGCTAAAAATGTCACAACCTAATAAATATGTGGAGCCAAGCCAAACTTTTCACGTCCCATTGAAAAAATGAAAAAAGAAAAAGAAGTGGATTCTCATCTGTATATTCTTTTCATATCAGATTCGTCTAGATCTATAAAAGAAACACTTCTTGTCCCAACATTTGATAAAAATTATAAATGTTAAAAATAGGAATTTCATCGAGGGCAGATTATTAAAGAGTTTATCAGAAAAAACCAATTGGTTTAGGCCTTCTAGATTATAAACCTCACCAGATACAATAATTCATGATGATTTTTTAAATATTATTATTCAACGTATGCATAGTGTAATTATAAATAAAAATACGTATGTATACTTCTAGAGTTTTAAAACTACTCATGCTGCATGGCTTTTAACATGTTAGGCAACTTTTGGAAGGGAAGAAAATGGCCATTTAGAAGTCTTTTTATAATATCTTCTACTATTTTCTTTTTCATGCTTTGAAATTTGAAATGTTATGTGTCTATTTCAGTGTCATATACAGATCCAAAGATGTTTTTTTGGCACCTTATATTAAATTCTTAACAAGATAGACTTTTTCCAGATCTATTATTCTGTTTTTTGTTTTCATTTTTTTTTCTGTCGGCACACATGACATATCAAAATGTAATGTTTATTAGTACTATATAATTAATTTTGGGAAATTAATCAACTTTTTTAATTAATTTAATTATTATTTATGTTTTGTATGATTCAAATATGAAATTTGTATATGTTATCATAAATCTTATGGTTTGTTAATTAAAGTATATTTAAAACTAAACAAACAAATAAAATATATAGCTACAGGTACTAGAAAAGCTAACATGAAAACCGTTGAAGAACAATTAACCTAATTGGTACCAAGTCCTCTCAAAATCTAAGTCTAGGAGCATATCTAATGCAATCTCACCAAACAACTACTCAAATGTCTGTAGTTATAACTAGTCTTTCTACAAAGCTAGCTGCTAGGTCAAATTTAAGTCACTTGAGTCGAAATTAAATGATTAAGATCTATAAATAAATAGCAATTTGATACTTTCTCCATCTTAAATTATAAATTGATTGAAAAAAAATCAAAATATAAATTATCTTATAATTTTAATATAATATTATTTTTTTTAATAATATCATTTATTATTTATTATTTTTCCTTTTATCAACTCTTTCTTTTCTACTATATCATAAATAGAAGATAAATATTGTGAAATCAAATAATTTTTTTATACAAAATAATTATATTTTTTAATTTATATAAAATGCATAAAACAAATTAATTTTTAATATAAAATACCTAAAACAACATGCGTTTAATGTTGGTGCACTGTTACTGTAAAAAAATATTACACATATGTCCAATCAAATATTTTAAAATGTTAAATTATATAAAATTTATATATTGACTTGACAGGATACATAATTGTCATTGGTGATAATGTAAAAATAATTTACATAGTCAGTGCACCATTTTTTCTCACATATATTTTTTATTGTTTTTAATATAATTATTCTTCACTGCTATAAATAACTAGAAGTATTGTTGGAAAATTCAACATTAAAAAGAAATTAAATAAAAAAAGTTTGGTCAATTTTTTATTTATTTTTATATATACAACAATTAAAAAGGAATTTAGGAAGTAATTAAAAAAGAAACTGAATTCTTTGATTTCAAGATTCGAAGATCCTATAATTCAACGAACTATACCTACCAATTAAGATCTCTTCAACAAACACTGAAACATGCATCTTGAATTTCATTATAGTAACTAGGACCAACGCAACCTAACCTTTGGGGTACACTAGTATAGTCGTGATCAATGTAAAAAAAGTCTTATAATTTTGTTCTGAGGACACGTATTAATTAATTTAAATTTGGAAAAAATTTATGTGAAAAATGAAGTCTTAAATTTTTAAGAAATTCAATATACAACTTTTAAAATAATATTGGTAGGTGATTGTTCAACACAAGATATACATTTCTTACAAATACTATGTGTATTATCTAAAAAGTACAATAACCACATAATCATGTATTTGTGGGGTTGTACTAAAGTATTTAGAGTATTTACACAATACGTAAGGTTTGATAAATCAGAGTAGTGAGAAATTATATATATATATATATGTTTTATTCTGAGAAATTGGATATCTCTTTTTTATTATAAAATAAGGTATTTATATAAGTTTCTTGAGTCTGGGATAAAGAGTTAGAAAGTATCTTATCCTAATTTCGTGACCAAAAAATCTAAAGTACATCAAAGGATTTGATCTTCTGGAATCGTGAGAAGAACAATTTCTTCTCTTTCACTGACCCTAAGTTAGTTAGTATTTAGGACACGTCATTTGCCCACGTTCACTACATGAATAGAGCTAATTTGGACGACCCAAGTCAAATTAGGCTAGCAGGTACCAAATTTGGCCAAATTGGACTAGCAGATACTCCATATTAGGCGACTAGGTTCTCATGTCGAGCGAATAAGTACTCAATTAAACTAGTAGTTGTCAATTGGCCTAACAGGTACCCAATTGGGTGACTAGATTTCCATGCTAGGTGATTAGGTTCCCAACTGGGCTAATAGGTACCCCTTGAACGACTAAGTTCTCATGTCGAAAGAGTAGGTATCCAACTAGACTAGCACGTACCCAGTTGGGAGACTATGTACCTAGTTGGGTGACTAGGCTCCCATGTCCAGTGTGTTTGGTTTTCCTTATTCTTCTTAGATTATCCCTCCTAAGGGCCAATAAAATTATACAGGTACGTAGTCCCTCAAGAACGAGGGCTTAGAAAAGATGGTGCAATTTGGCTGTTATGAGATTTCAAGCATTTCTGATAAGAGTTGCCTTGATCCCAGTACATGGGTCGACCATTTTTGATCGATATTTTAAGTTGAGTCCCTCAAACGCGACTTTAAACTGAGTCTCTGAGCAGAGACTTTAAGTTGAGTCCCTATTCGAATCGTAGTTAAATGGGGGCTTTTGTTATCGTCTCCACAAGGATTACAGATATTTTGATGCTTGTCGTTCAATAGTTTATTATTTTAAGAAAAAAAGGTTTCAAAGTTTTGTTCATAAAATTGTCACGTTTTTAGTAGCAAAGCTTATAATTTCTAAAGAGTTTGATTAACAAAGTATATCAAAAGTAGTTTTCATTTATCCTAACTTATACATATTCTTTCAATCTTGCATGTGAAGTCGGATCCGATTAATATCGTCGCGTATTCTCTCAACACCGTCTATCTCTAAAGCGGCGTCGTGAGAAATACCGTATTCATCACTACACGATTTCTCCATATAACAACCAATATAATAAGCTTTAAGTTCAACACAAAGCAACTATCAACCATAGACCGATTTCCCCAATCTATAAATTGATAGATGAATATTTTAGGTCAAGTTTCACAAAATCTATGTCTAGAGTTTTACAAAACAAGAATGGATCATTAAGAATAAAAATATTCATCATATATTAATCATCACGTGTTCACATATACGGCCAATCAAAATAAATACATACAAGTTAATGGTAGACTACCTCTACCTTTTATACAAGAGAAATTAGCTACAAACATAACCATGGTAGCTTGCTTTATAAGTAATAGAAGAAAATGAATGATCATCCACGTCAAAGAATCGAACTCTGATGCAAATCTAGCTTCTATTTGAAAAATATCACCTTTTGGTGAAGAAATGTTGAGAAAATGAAGTTTAAGGGTGAAAAATGGGTTATGATCCCCCAAAAATGTGAAAAGTACTTATATAGTACTTTTGAAATTTGTCAAGTTCGCCCAAGGAGCACACTTTTAGGCACCTGAAGTGCCTCTGAACAGTTAAACCGCTCGTGAGGAATATCTGAAGTTCGTCGAGCGAGCAATTCTTTTCCGTACGAACTACCTCACTATAAGTTTGCACAACGAGCTTATGGTCCTTTAGCTACTGCCTCAAATCTGGGATGGTTCACTGGTCCTTCGCCGAGACCTCACGACATCGAACATTCGCTACCAGTTTGCCTAGTGAACTTCGTGTCCTTTTCTTACTGCCTCTAAATTGAGAGGTGCGAGGGCAAG